TATGTTCATTTAAGAAGTTTACATGTGCAAAGCTAGCAGGCTGCTGCTGCAGGTTAATATTTAAAGTAAAGCAATTTGTGCATTTCCTAAAACATCCAGCTTTTCTGTTATGAATTACAAAGTGCAATAAAAATGTTGTGCCTAAAGGAGTTTCAGCAAAATAACTACTGTGTGCTTCACCAGATTAGACAGCACCGCATGAGTTGAGCATTAACTTCGGAGCGTAAGCAGTCAACTCAAGAGAGGGGGACCGTCTGCATGTGGCATCGGGGGCTCTTTAAGAGGCTTAGGAAGACAAAAGGGCATGGGGCTATAAGAATGAAACACTGTATGATCTGGTGGCTGGAGAAGGCTGGAATCTGCTTCTTTTGGAGCCAAACATTCCAGTGGGGTCAGTGCTTAGCTTAAGGGAGTGTTACAAAGAGAGATGAGGCGTGATGAAGAGGGGCGGTCCTTGTAATTAAAGGAGAGAAAGGGGTATAAGTCCTTCCTAATCCTTTGTTCCTCTTCAGATGCACAGGACCAGAAGCAATGTGCCCCACAAAGGCATATAGGAAGCCAGGAAGCCACAGCTCCCAGCTGCTCTGCTACGTACTGAGCCTGTAGGTGGATTTATTTCAAAGATCAGCTAACAGCATACTGCTAAACCCACAGGAGTGGCTACCGCTCTGCTCCTGTGAATGCACACTAATTCATTTGTCCTCATTAATTCCTGCTTATATCTTGTTACTTGGATAACTCAAAGAGCTCGAAGGCTGCTGGCAATGTGACCTTGTCACCAGGCTGCTCCTGTCCTTACTTACATACAGTATGTGGGCAGGCGCCTTGAGCGGCATGCTGCCCCCTTGTGCAGCAATGTCATTCAGGTTCAACATTAATGTTTAAATCCCAGTGAATTACTTCAGGATAGGAAGTTTATTGAAGGTTTGTTGAATATAGAAGGACACCCAGGTTTCAGATAATTCACTGGAAAACTGTCCTGTTTTTATCTAAAATATTTATAACATGTATTGTTAATTAGAAACACTTTACTGTAAAATGTGGACCTTTATGAATGAATTTCCATAATACGAACATTGCACACAGCCACTTACTTGACTGCACAAGTATTAAAGAGTAGATGACCCTAAATGTTCCAGTTTGCAGCTTTTATCTTTTACAGAAAGAGCCACAAAAAAGATTAAAAAGTTTTGCTTTCACTGCTTTACTAAATTTTAATGGAAAACTTATTTGACTTGTATTTTCCCAGTTCTATTGCAAGTCCAACACAATAGTGACTTGAAGAAGAAGATCGGCTCAAATCTGATTTGCATTTTGTTCTGTCTCTCCTTTACACACGCTCACATTTACATGCAGTCTACAGATGCAAACGAAGAACTCCGCGTTAACATTTTTCATGTGTGTTGTTCTACAGTTTTGGGTATTTTTTCCAGGCAGAGCTATAAAACAAGTGCAAGTGGAGAGTAAAAGCGGCCGGTCTTTCTGCTCCATCGTGTGATGGTTTTATATAGATTGAAGCTGTGGAAGAAAAAGCTCCCGAGGGAACAGCAGTATATAATTACAGTTCCTGCTGTCTCTGCTCTCATCAGTATTACTGTACGTCCTCTGCAGCCTGCAGCTGCTGAGACACAAAGAGAAAAGGTTTCTGATTCAAGTCTTCTCCCTCTTGTCTCATTAATGGCCACTTGGACTCACCTCACTGTCAGGGCAGCGGTGATACTCCCTGACTTAACCTTCAAGAAACACTTCATATCACCGTGTTCTTTACAATGCCTTTCTTTCCTGTTTTCACACTACTTTATTTGCTTCTTCCTTCTTCTTTCAGAAAATTATCCTGTCATGTTTAAAGGGGGAAAAAAGCATCTTCTGACCCTTTTAATTTTGCTATATGTCTCAAACTAGCAGTCCTATGCACTGGATTTCAGCTCCTTATGGCCTATGTTTAAGCCCTTAACATATATTGCATAGTGTAAACTGTAAATCTTTCCATGCATTTTCTTCCGCTTATATGACTCAGTGCTGCAAGAGGAACTGGAGCCTATACCAGCTGCCAGAGGGCGAACGGTAGCAACCAGAGTGTCACAAGGCCAACACAGAGTGTCAGACGACCACTTTTAAGTGTCTACCAGTGTAATTAATATCTATGAAAATAATTAAAAGCAGAATAGATTCCCATTCCAGCATACATAGACGTTCAGTCTGAAAGGATGAGTGACCTTCTCAAGTTTAAATGAAATAATTTTAGACAAGCTAAATAAATAAAGTAGCCACATATTTCACTTATCTTAACTGCACTACTGCATAATTCTGTATAAACAATCATTCTGTACAATACGATAATTATAATTCTACAACTGTTTACAACTGTTTATAACTTGCATATTTCTATAGCTTTATATTTATATCCTGTTTATAGCCTGTACATAGCTTGTATACCCACTACAGCCTGTACATACTTATAGTTATAGCATATTCATAACGTACCTTCATACCGTGTACATTGTAACATACCCATAATAGACCCATTTTTGTACCCTCATACCTATAACAGACCCATTTCGGTAATATATCTATATTATTGCTAATATAAATTTTGTAATATATCTATATCATGGCTAAAGCACTTCTGGATGGATGCAAACTGCATTTCGTTGCCTTGTACTTGTGACATGTGCAATGACAATAAAGTTGAATTCTATTCTATTCTAAATAAACCTAAAACGCATGCACTTTTTAAAAACCATCATAATGAGAGGAAACTATATAAAATGAGCTGCATGCTCAAGATGGATATATAAAAGTTTCCTCTAAGTCTCAACAGTATGAGAAAAATCACCAAGCAGAGCAATGGAGTAAGCTGAAGGTAAGCATCATTAGCATGCAAACCTGCAGCGACTCTTATTGACACCACACTACTTCTCTAATAATGTCTGATTAATATTGGAGCACAGCTATTCACTGTAGGCACCGAAAGAGACGAATGCAAACAGACAGTGAAACGAAGAGAGAGGTAAGAGAAAGAGACAGCTGTAAGGACAATCCTGCACATCACCATGCAGCTGGATACAAACCCTCTACAGCTCAAAATGACAGGGAGCTTCACAGTTTTTAATCCCTTTCTGCGCACAGGCAATCAGATTTTCTCTTCTCCCTCGACATCAGCTGCATCGGAAAGGCAGTACGTTTAATAGGCCAATTATAGCCACAGTGACAATGCCGATAAATCAGCTCTTGTTGTTTTCTCTTGCCTTTTAAAGGGTTCGCTCATAAAAAATGCAAGGGATGCAGAGGAACCTCTACATGCTGAACATCTCCCTAGTCTAAAATTCAAACTATGATGGGTTCGCTTTGGTCAGAGCTTCAGCCTCGAGGTGAGCAAACGTTTCAGAGCATTTCTCCTTAGATTGTTCGTTTTAGTTCAAAACATCTTATTGTTTTATATCAGCAAAACTCCAACTTAAACTGGATGTTACTGTTAAATTGCTCAAAAAAACAAGAAAGGAATGTTTTATATAGGTAATTTAAATTAAGACGAGTGTCTAACGGAAAACCAAAGATACCGAAAAGCTTAAAAATGGAAATGTGCAACGTTTGACAATGTTAGTCCAAAGAAAACCAGCATGTTTGATAGGCCACCTCTATTTTCAAAAGCTCTAAATCTGGATTGGTTGAGCTTTTGAGCTCATTTTAATCCAGTCCTCATCAACTCCGGTTTTCACCTCCAAATGAAGGTGGTGTTATAATAACCCAGGAGCCATTATTAATTCTCCGATTGCCCATATGAGCAAACTATCAAGGTGAAAGTAATCAAAACTGTAGTTATCGACATCTTAGTGAAATCTTTTCTGAAAATTCACCAAATAGTTTAATTGGGAACTCGGGGCTGTGCTGTTCCGTTCTGCCTCAATGACAGTGATCTTTAAGCTTTTGTGATAAAATCCTCATATAAAGCAGCCCTAGAGGGAAACAGTTAAACAGCTTTTCACAGAAAATGACTACAGTCCCAGAATTCGCCCTGCCACGGCGGAATTAAAAAGTCATTATTAGAATAGCCGGGTCTTTTAGAAGCAATAATATAAAAACAGCTTTTTCCTGCTACACTCTGGCCTTCGTCTGGTCATTCAGTCTTTTGCAGAAACACGCAGTCCTTTAATTTTGACTGCAGAGCAAACATGCCAGGCATTTATTGCAATACCTCTTGTTTGGCAAGGTGAGCGCCTTGTTGAATTTAAGTGCTTGCAACTGTGAGATCTGGCCCCTGAGTTAATATTGCACTGAAGCTCTCAGAGTTCACCACTTTCATCTAGTAAGAGTACATATATTTAATGTCTCACTGGAATTTGAAGGCCCATATTAATGCATTCTTCACAGGAGGCATTTGACATGATGGAAAAGATGGTGGATGTCAAACCTCTGTGCCCAAAGAGCCAATAGAGACCAAAAACTGAGCCTGTTGTGTTGTTGCACTGGCACATTTTTAGCAGAGCCGTTTTCACTGTTTTGGCAGAAATACCAACTTGTTGTTATAGTAAAGATGGAGATAAGCTTATAAAATAGTTTTCTGGGCTTTCTCTGTACATAACTTATATGACGTTTGCTTCTGCCTGAAGCTGTTACCAAGATGGCTGGAGAGTACTGACACTTGTTTTCTAGAAGAACTTTGGTGTAAATCGTGAGAGTAAACCAAATTTGAAAAGTGGAGTCAGCTGCTATGGCATGCAATAAGATGTGCTTTGAAAGAGATTTATGCTTTATGTTATGCTTTCCTTCACTTATGAAATAGTCTAAACTACAGTATTCATGAATATGGCACAGTAGTTCTTGTCATAAGCATATTATGTTAGCCATATTTGCAGTATAGCTTGTTGCCTTAATATTTGCTAATGAGTACTAAGAACCACGAGCAGATGAGGTTCTTGTCAGCAGTATTTGTAGCTGTTCCACATTTTTACCCCAGTGTTGGTGAGTTATAAAAAGAGAGGATTGCCAAAGTTATTGCAACTGCAGATTTTGAGACTTTTCGCCTGATAGGTGAAACAGGGAAACAGCAAAGTTACAAGGATTCAGTAAAAGTCGTGCCTCAGTGCTGCAGTCAACAAGCATCAAAAGTAACCTTTACTTTAAAGGCAAACAATCTCTGTATCTCGATTGTGTCACACCTTTCACCGTTGCTCTACCGCTTGAAGAGTAGCTGCAGGCAAATCCACGTGATTCAAACTTTGAGGAAAAGCAGCAATCTGCTGGTGACCAAAGGAAATGCTTTGAACATTCTGCATTTACTGTTTGCTTTTCTTATTAGAAAACCACTCACAAACCAGTCAGGGAATACATGTTTTTCCACTTACGTCTGGTGGTTGTGTCAGGTACAATATGGCAGACAACTCTCGAGCAATATGTGACGTCACATGAGAAGACCATGATGTAAAACGTTTGTGATTTATAGAAAGCTCTAGTTTATTTACTATAAGCAATATATGCACTATGTAGTTTTTGGTGGCTTACAGTTTTTCATATTTTTGTGAATGATAGGAGGGTGTACAATAACACGGAAAGAAACAGCCAAGGTTGAAATGAAACACATGTCCAATAAAGTGAACTGCGTACCTGGAGGAGGTGAAGGAGTGTTATCGGGCGATGTAGCTGAGGAAGCGAGAAGGCATCCTGGAGAGAAGGTAATGTCATCCAGGCAGATGTCAACCTTTGGATTTCGGCCTACCTTGCCCTCGAACATGACCTGGAAGTCCCTGGAGCTGCTCAGCGGGATCTCCTTCATCTGCCAGTAGTTGCCCTGATCTCCCGTCAGGGTCAGGAGGAGATGGAGATGGCCTTCACTTTTGCTGAACACACTGAGAGTCCCAATGCCATCTCCAGACATGTGGAAGTAGAAACGCATCTGAGAAAAGGAGGAAAATGAAAAAGGTGTTAATTTAAATAGCACAAAAAATATCAATAGTTTAGTAACAGTAATGTCTAACCCTGAAGACTTTAAATTTTTTGATGGGAAATGGGGAAAAATGTTGGTACGGACTAATATCCGTACTGTAATAAAGATGTCAAATAATTCAATCGCTACTATATCTACAGTGGTACTCTTTCTAAATAATAGGCTTGGATCTTTCAAAGGTCGCTTGCTTGACACACTGATACCACTTTGTTCTCTTCTTCTTTTTTTTTTTCTTATATTGGTCTACTGTGGAAAGAAACAAAAAGTAGAGGCATGCTAAGGTGATTAAGTTTTAATCCACTCGGTCTGTCACTGGATCGATGTGCTTTTCCCTTCAGTTGTAGCCTTTATTAAGGCACAGAGAGAAATTGTGTTTTTCCATCACACATCAGTGAGTTAGCAGTATATTTTATGGGCTTTCTCTCCAAATAGAGGCTTGTTCAGGAGCTGTGGCAGCACACCTCCCTCTCTCGTTCGCCAGAGAGAGCATTTCCCCCATAGCACAGCCCTCCCTTCAGTTTAATTGGAGCCTTTTTGCTAACCGTGTGATTGATTGACAGGTCAGGAGCAGGATAAGACAGACACGACACACAGAGCAAACCAGGCAGTCAATCAAGAAATCATTTCCCAGTAGAGCATGAGGCTGACAGCTGGGAGGACACACACATACTACCAACCAAGCATACACACTCAGTTGCTAATTGCCTGTTTAGTTGCATCACATTTTCAGCTCTAATTGTAAGGACAAGAAGGTCAATATTTAAAAGTCATTTCTTAAGACTAAAACTTGCAAGCTGACAGGAATTTCTTAATTTTAAGAAATACGTTCATGTCCTTCCTAATAAACGTTTTCCACTCATCTCTGAAATACATAAGAAACTAAAGTCAGCAGCTGGTTGGGTTTACATGAAAAGTACATCTCATCTTTACACTTGTTTGAGGACTAAATGACAAGAAAGACTATTTTCATCTCCATCGCCTCTTTATGCTAAGCTAAGCTAAGTTAGCTTAGCTACAGCTAGCTCTTAGCAGCAACTGAGCGTATTTTCCAAAAAGTTGAACTTGAATCTTGATAGTGTGAATATACCAAAACCACTGAATTTAGCTCTTCTTATATATATTAAATATATATATTTTACATTAGTTACTACTGAAAGTCAAACATACATATATTATATTATACACTGCTGTGCAAAAATTCTCAAGACACCCTTTATTTCTTTATATTTTACTAAGAAAACTGAAGGTAGAAGTAGAGGTTTATTGAAATGTGCACTTCAACACTACAGCCACAAATCAAGATAAAGCCTCCACTGTGTTTTAGAAATCACTGTAAGCACTGTAAGCACATTGGTGGCAAAATTTCAAATCTGGATTCATAACTTCATAAGACCTGTTTTCACTGATTTTCAGTGCAGTTCTTGTGTAATCTGGCATACCTCAGCCTTTTCTTCCTGTTTCCCTTCCACTGACACCTACTAAAGGCATCTCTTGGGTCCTCTGTCAGATCTTTGTTGGATATTTTTCCCCTATTACTTAAAGATATTACTTAAAAATACTATTAATCTGCTGTAGATAGGTTTTCAGGCCAGTTAATTGTTCATTTGTCCTCTATCTGTCCAGTTTCCTCATACTGCATACCATGCAAAAAGATGGCACATTTTCAGTTATTATATCTTTGGGAATCATCTTGTTGGTGCAACTATACAATTTTATTAGTGTCAAACTGTGTTATCTTTGGCATTTTTCAAAGATTCAACAATAGAAATGGGAATAAATTATGCATTAGTGCATAAAGTTGAAAAACAGCCAATGTCCAAAGAACAACTTCCAAGGATCTTCAGGAAGTTTGGAAAATTATTGCTTGAAATCATTTAAAGTATAAGAAAGTTTTGCTGATTGGAAGCAAAATATGTAGAAATCAGTTGTAGTTCAAAGGTTTTGCACACACACAAGTCCCAGACAATTATCTGAATAACATCAATCATGTTGTTATAAAGCAATGTTTCTTAGAGATCTAATTAGGAATCCACTGACTCACAAAACCCAAAGATGGGAGGATTCAACAGGGCATGATGATTATTAATATATTGTTAAATAATGTATATTTTACAATATTAATTAAAAATACAGTATTTTATTATATAGCTCAAATAATCCATCCATCCATCCTAGGGTTAAATGGAATTTGTGTTAGTGGTCTTGGTACCAGGACACACCTGCCTACCAACCAGCCATACCAGCTCGAATCATGCCACATCAAAACCAATAGAAACGGCCAAATTTTGATGACCTCAGAATTTAAAATTTTAATCTGTGGTAAAGTGTTTTTAGCGTCTTCATTTAGCTGTATTTTTAATAATTCTCGTACATTCTGCCCTTTGACCTTGACCTGACCTTGCACTGTGAGCTCCTGCGGCTCAGTAGGGGTCCTATTATACGAGCGGTCCTGCCATCTTCCTGAGGAAATGAACTTTCCAAGTAGAGGTAGTGTCCCGAGGAGTTTCTCAGGGTGTGGTCAGTTGATGGCCTAGTTCCAGTGGTTGGACTGCTGCTGATCCTCCAATCAAAGTCATCCTCTTGGCACTGGCGCCAGGAACAGAGGTCAAACTCAAAACTGCAGCGTTCAATAAAACCCTCTGAAAGATGGCAATAAAAGAAGAACTCAATCACGGCTGTTCATTTATCAGAAAATTAATCTTCCACTTAAAGTCATCAGCCAAACATTAGAAGAGGCCTCACGGCAGATGTAGGGGTTCTCGTCTGAGCTGTCCCCGCAGTGGTTGATGAAGTCACACAGGTTGTCCTGAGGGATGCAGTGGCCATTTGCACAGGTGTACTGCTCAGGTGTGCAAGGCTGGTCTGAAGGAAGAGGAGGGGAGCAATCCACGAAGCCGACGTCATCTATTACCAAGTCACCCATGTAGCTGATCCCTCGTTTAGCAGAGAATACCACCTGAAAAAGAACAACAGACCCGGGATCAACTCTGAGTCCTCACTATTTTTGGAGAGGTCGATGCTTAATGTTATCAGGCAAGCCACGGAAACAGAAGAGCCGATAGCCCCTGTCCTAATGAGTCTTGTTATTCCGCGTCTAGTGGCAGTCAGCTGATGAAGTGCTCGGAGGGGAAAGGAAAAGGGCACTTGTAGTCTCAAAAAGGGCTCTGAAGGTTTGGTGTGTAAAGCCTTTCAGCTGCTGATTGTACCACCAGCTCTGATCTGACTCTCTGTTCTGACAAAGGTTAATGTGCATCAGTGGGATGACTTCTCCGGTGCAATCAAGCCACCGGGGCAGGCACTGTACTTTTATCTGGGTGTGGCAGTTTTGCCCCTCAGATGAAGACATTGATTATCTCTTGTTTTGAAAGGACAGGCACTTCTCTAAAGATTGCCTTAGGTCAAGTGGCTGTGAAGAATTAAATGGAATTTAAATCATTGACATTTTTTAGTAAAACTCTGTTTTCACTTTGACATGATTTTGAATTAATTTTTGTCAGAAAAAAAGCCAAATTATATTGTCCAGAATTTTACTTATTAAAAACAATAAAAGGGTGAAACCACAGCAAATCATCTGCCTTCATCTCACTCTAGCCTCCTCTTCTGTGGCACCAACTCTTTTCATATCCTTCCTTACTACATCCATGAATCTTTTCTGTGGTCTACCTCTTTTCCTCCTGCTTGGCAGCTCCATCGTCTATATCCTTTGTCCAGTACATCCACTACTCTACTGCACATGTCCAAACATCTCTGCCCTGCCTCTCTAACTTTGTCTCCAAACCACTAAACCCGAGCTGCCCTTTTGATGCTGCTGATGAAAATCTGAGCATCTTCAACTCCACCTCCAGCTCAGATTCGTTGGTTTTGTCAGTATCACTCTCTCCAATCCACACATCATAGCAGGTGTAAATACTATCTTGTAAACCTTCCCTTTCACTTTTGCTGCTGTTGTTCTGTCATTTTATACTTTTACTGTACATCATTATAAAAATACCACTGTATAAAATGTCTAAATTGTTTAAAAATGACTATTTTATATTATTTTTTATATAAAGGTTGATATGAACCATTTCATTGCATTAAACTGATTTCGATATCTCACTAGTTTTCTTAGGGAAAAATTATTTAACAGACCTGGACATTACTCAATAACCCCAAAAACACTTCTCCTCGTCTCCATTTGTTGCCTTGGTTACCAGTCTCAGTCCAAACCTCATGAGTGATGTTTGTTTGCTTCAGCAGCACCTGCAGACATCAGAAAAGCAACATATTTCCGTGACTCAATTCTGATGAGACCCCATACACAGAAATGATCTGTCTGCCCTCTTTACCTTCAGTGTTCCCACGGTGAAGCCCCTCATGTGGTACCAGAAGACCAGGGTGCACTGCGGCCCAGTGGAGGAGATGACAGGAGTCTGGAGGTCAGTGGTCTGACCGTATCCACCATTTGAACTGTCTGCATACATATACCACCCCTTGGAGCTGTTGCTATCAGAGGAATAGCAGGAATACAGAATAAGATCTCAAATTCAGCTGCGGATCTGAGATGGAAATGAGGATTTATTTAGTATTTAGTAATGTCTTTAGCCTGAGTGCCTTGGATATACTGAGAAAGGGCTCTGCATTGGAACTGACAGCTGTATTTTTACTTAGTGTAGTATAGTGCAAAAATATACACTTTTTTTCAGTAAAACATTTGTCTTAAAGGAAACAACCCATTTGTGATTTCTTGGCATTTCTCTTGGGAAATATTCATTTATGATTTTTACCCTTCAGGCCTAAACGGCTGATGGGATATTGTTATTGCCCTGCCAGGCAGGCGGGAAAGGTGAACACCCTTACAAATACGAATGCAAGAAAGAGGCGATGTAGGACTTTCAAATTGATACTGTTGGGGTTTCTACTAAAAATCTCAAGGACGGGAATCTGGTGAATGCGATAACTCGAGAAGGAAGTCATGTAGGATTTTTCAATTGATACCATAGCTGCATCTACCAGGAGGCTGAGGAGAACCACTGGCAGCTGTCTGTATATTTTGTAGATTGTTACATTTTCCCAGAGGGAATAAATTGCTGAAGAAGTAAGAAAGTTCAAAAACACTCAGCTGGGAGAACATCTGGCAATTAATTAATTTAATTGGTAGAAGTAAAGATGGGCAGAGGCTCTCCAATCTGTGAAAGAGTGCGTAAGAAGATGACTTCAAAGGCAATGTTCCTAAACGTCAAATTGCAGAGCCTTTGCAACTGTCATCGTCTACAGTGCATAACATCATCAAAAGATTCAGAGAAACTGGAAATGTCTCTGTGTGTAAGGGACAAGGCTGAAGACCTTTATTGGATGGTGCTCCGTCCCTCAGACAAGACTGCAACATTCATCAGCATGATTGTGTCACTGACATTACTAAATGGGCCCAGGAACACTTCCAGAAACCACTGACGGTTAAGATGCGAACTAAAGCTGCAAAAAGAAAGCCATATTTGAACATGCTCCAGAAGCGCCGTCGTGTCCTGTGGGCCAAGACTCATTTGAAATGGACTGTCTCACAGTGGGAAAGTATTCTATATCCAGATTAGACAATCTTGTTGGTAATCCCAGATGCTGCGGAGAAGGAAGCCCTTCCAACATGCTATCAGCGTTCAGTTCAAAAGCCAGCATCTCTGATGGTATGGAGGTGCCTAAGTGCACATGGTATGGGCAGCTTGCACGTTTTGGAAGGAAGTATCAATGCTGAAAGGTATTATAAAGGTTTGAAAATGAACAATAATACTGAAAAAATTCCAAAAACTCTTAGGTAGGTGCTTACAGGGTGTGGTCATTAGTAGGACGGTGGTACTCCTCTCCAAAATGATTGCTCTCCCCTTGGTCACATGACCAGCGAAACGAGTGATTTAGTATGAAAGAGGGTTTGACAATCTTCCACCCACAAGTGTCACCTCCTTCAAAATCACAGCTTTCCTTCACTGGAAAAGAGGGAACATAAAAATAAAAAATGTCTCAAAAACATTTGAGAAGACTGATAATGCAATAGTTAAAGCCTTTTAAATGTTTTACCACAACTTATTTCGTCTGATCCATCAGAGCAATCATATCTAAAGTCGCACACTTTACTGAAGGGAATGCACTCCCCATATGTCCCACAAGGAAACTCTCCATAATGGCACATATTGGGTTGAACTGTGGGGGCTGGAGTCGTCACTGCTGGAGTTGTATTATTCAGTGTGGGGAGCTCTCCTAGAGCAAGAGACAGTAGAAAATAACTAACACTGGAAACAGAATTTCACTGTACAGTTTTGTGTTGTAATCATTTACCTTCATAAGGCTCACAGTTGAGGAAGGAAAGGTCATCAATAGCAATGTCTCCAGTAAAATCATCTCCAACTGTACCTTGAATCAAAATCTGGGAAATAAACACACGGCATATTCAGTCGAGGAGTTAGCGTATAGAGTCCGTCCAAAGCTTTTAACAGGAACAGCTGTAGCTGCTGGTGTATTAATTTAGGAACCAATTAAAAGTGAACTCAGGATTTTGGTATTAAGTACATCTGCTGGGACACTTTTGGTTATTTCGAAAATGTTCATATAACCTTTTGGTTCACTCACAACAGTCTCTGTTACCTTGCTAATATCTACTGAAGTAAGCCCAATTAGATAGCTATACGAAGGTCTAAGTAAAAACTCTCTGTTAGAGAGAAGTACGGTGGCCCTGAGAGGCCAAACGGACTGCAACTTAAGAACACCAGCAATAAGAAAAACGCTGCAAAAGCACACAGAACACAACGGAAATAGGAAAAATGACAACGGAAATTGGAAAAACAAAAACCGAAATAGGAAAAA